TCTTTGCAAGAAAGGTTATTAAGTTTATATAAACTTTGCTGAATGCTTCAAGCTAAGAGTGGGTATTTTTATATCTCGTGCTTAAAAAGTCCAGTTCCTAATAGCATGGTTAATGGCAGAGAGGGAAAGCTCTGTGATCTAGAATTTTTAAAAGATTTCAGTGTGCCAAGCCTTGCACTGAGTTTACATTAATAATGAAATTCTGAAGCTTATTATGTGTTGTGCAAAGATATACTTGTCACCTGTTCTCCTTATCTTATTAATAGTTATTTTTGTTGGATGATTCCTTGTCTCAAGTTGTAGAATTATCTAATGTAAGCGTATGCAGACATTAGATAATAGTCACAATGCTGCTTTTCTGTCAGCTTCACTGGGCATTTATAAACAGCCAGTAGACTGTGAAAAATATGATGGAATTTGTCTTTTAATTTTATTTGCTATTTATTTATCGATTACACTGATTTTACTGATACCCACTTTTTAATGGTTTAATCTTTGCTACTGTAATATTATTATTATTATTATTATTTGCATGGAGAAATATTTTTATGAAGGTGGAGTGCAGTGTGGATACAATAAAAAAAAATGTCCCACAAGTGACCTCAAAATATGATAAATGGATTGCACAATTAATTTATAGAAACAAAGTAGCATAACAGAATTTTCCAATCTGTATTGAATAATAAGGGTTTTTTGGCTCTATGTTTAGGTTTTAATATTGACGCTTTTTGTAAAAACAAAAAAACACCAAAGTTAATTCCTATGAACACAGAATCATCATCTATGAGTTATTAGGCTGAGACATTCATGGGCATCTCTACATGAGAACTTTGTTTGATTGGCTCTTTTTGACAATATTCTATTGTCAGATATAAATATAACTAGGATTTGTGGGAAGGCAGCTTGCATACTTCTTTGTTTTTCATTTGAGGATGGATAGTATCATGGACTGAGGTGAAGGGTTGATCGTGTTGCTGTTGTTGAAATTTTGTCCTATTGGTCAACTGGAAGGACTGAGAAATGCTGACTATGAATAAATACTACATTCTTAGCATTTTGAGATTGGCAAGAGTAAAAACCATTATGGATCAGTGCCAATTATTTTGTAGAGACTGGGGAATAGAAATCATAGTAATAGGAATAGTGCTGGTGATACATGCATTAAACTTTCTATGACCAGCTTTCCCTCAATGTAGAACACTAGCTGCAAAATCCAAAAATGAGATGGAATTGGGATTAGCTTAATAGATGGCACAAATATGAAGGTCATTTCATTTGATGGTCATAATGAAAGTGGAACCATTCTCCTTGGAAACATGACTATAGAATAGCTCAGTCCATGGAAACAGATAACTCTGAGCTTTTGCTACTTGTAGAAGATAATTATTTCACCCTATGGTACTTTGCTCTCTCTCTCTCTCTCTCTCTCTCTCTCTTGCTATCTAGAAAAATGAATGAAAGATTGCTACTGAAAAGAGGAATAAAGAAACTCAAGATAGTACACAAATCATATTATAGATCATATAGCAAAATATATATTTTAGATGCAATGACGAAGAATAATTGTTATATCCTCATTCCAAATTTATGATTTCCAATGAAGATTAAAGTAACACAATGCAGCTTCTAATATATAATTTTTCCTATAAAAATAATAATGGTGTGGAAATAATAACCAATGACACTGTTTTATCCTTCTTTTGCCCTCTGGTGCCCATAAATCTTTAATACCTAATGTAATTTCTTTTGGGGAAGTAATACATACCATAGGAAAAGGTTTAGCCATGTCTTAATCCTGTTCCATACTGGAGCTTACTTAGTTCTGCTCCTTTTCTTCCCTGGGTATGCAGCAATATTGTTTAAGCATTAGGTTTAGTTTGTTCTCATAATCTTTGAAACCAATAGGTCTAATCAGTTTTGGGGTCTGTCCATATATGTTTTGATTTTTGTTTCATATTTGCTTAATGGGTTTGCTCCTAAAATACAGTACTAGTTAGGTTTGCAGCCTTCCAAATATTATGGTTTTTCTCTAAGGATATAAAAAGTTATTTCAATGGAGATTTAGAATTCAAACAATTATTTCTCCCATGTAAATGTCTGGTTCCTTTATGTCCATGAGCAAAATTAGTTTTAATTGACCTACATTTCTCTGGTTCATCTCTTTATATGGCTCTATAATGAACATAAACAGCAATGAGTGTGTGCCCTGCATGGAAGAATTCAAGAGTTGTAGTTCCCACAATATAAGAGAACTAGTACAGATTCCTTTTCATAGGCATGAATACAGATATTCACATTTGCTGCATCATTAGCCCTAACATCCCAGATGGATTAACTATAACTTGTATCTTTCCCACATAGTAGAACTTTTTGATGTACAAATGAGCTGTAGTCAAACTCATATACAGTATAGATGCTTTGTTTATACAGTTTGATCTTCATAGCTGCAACACTTCTGTTTTAATTTATTATAGGACATTCCATAAATGAATATGTCTATTTTTGTAGAAAATACCCAACTAGTTTAAACTGTTAATGCTGAACATATATACAAATTTAATTCAGAAATTATTAATATTCTCTACAATGCTGTTTTAATACATTATTTTCCATTTCTTCCTGTACTTTCATGATAGAAATAAAATAATTTTAAAAAATAAACAAAAGCCTAAAGCCATTAGCATTTACCAATAAACATTGGATTCAATAGGCTAATTAACTATAATTTGAGCTGATTAATGTAACAATTAAACTAATAGTTCTACTGCAGATCAGTCAAGTACATAAAATGTAAAATTGCATTTTATTCCCTCATGAAAGGAATAAAAACACTGAAATATGTGAATTCTGTAGGAAAGATTATCACAGTTAGTTTTTATCTATGACAAATATCTCATTCTGAAACAGGTTCACTGTACAGCATAGGTATAATTAAGAGTAATTGATCTGAACTCATCCAGCTTTCCCTGAATAAAGGATCAGAGAGACCAATGGAAGACAATGCATGCCCTGTGTTCACCATGCACTGGTGGTAGCTACTACCAATATCAACAAAAGGGAAATGACAATGGAAACTGACTCAGCCTTGAATTTCTACTAAAATTGCTGCTACAAGATGAAAGTTTGCTCTGTGCTGAGAAGTTTAACTTACTTGACAGATACTAAAGGTCATCATACTGGAAAGGTCCTCATCATCCAGCACCATCTTTTAGCCCTCCAACTTTCTCTCTTTCAGGAACATTGATTGGTCTCAGAAAATCTTCTAACAACATGGTTTCATTATCCATTGAGAGTACTCCTCTCTTAGGCATTGTTGGCACCACTGACAGCTAATTCCCTGCCATTTTTGTGCCTCAGTAGGAACTAAGATACCTTTTAATCAGCAAAATATGTTGGAAAGTTTCTTAAGGTATCTATGGATTTAAACACTTGTTGGCTACCAATTTCCTTTGCATTTTCTTAATCAGGTGTCAGAAATTCTCCTGGGAAAGTTTCTATATTGGAAAAAGTGTTGGATTGTATGAAAATATCTATTTTGTAGCACGCTGCACTGCTAGAATGATTGCAGATTTACTTAATGGTTTTTGAAAATTTCAGCTCAGAATGATTTACACTTATTTCTTTTAATCATGTGTGGCAAATGTTGTAAAATACATCTGTATTAGCCTTAAATTCCTATGGTTCATAAATTATCTGAGACTGCACAAACATCTTCATGCTGTTTATTCTTAATTCATCACTGTGGAATAATTGTTCCTTCCTGCTTTCTCACAATGAATTAGTGTTTTATAAATAATGATTTGGGAGGACAAGGTCAGAAAGAGGTTTTTTTTTTTTAATAAGCTATAAGTGATCCTTATTTATCAACCATTTGTTTAGTGTCCATTTGAAGTTTGAACTGTACTGAAAAAAATGCTTTATGATCAGTCCTCTCATTTCTATCACCAAGCTCATGTGATGTTGATTCAGATGCTTGGCAACCATAATTCATTTATAACAGTCATAGCATCCTGAGGTTATGTGATTGCCATTTGCAATAAGCAAAATCAATGGGGAAGCTGGAAGGATATAAACAAGGCCAATGAGGACACTAGCTGGCCAAGGATGATGGCAGCTGAAATCCAACTCATTTGGATAACATCTGACTGGGGATAAGATAAATTACATAACTCATGGAGAAAACTATATCAACAGTTATTATCTAATTATCTGGTGGGAAACTCCATTTTAAATCCTTGGCTCATTGGAGCTGGAATAACCAAAGTTTATATATTCTTATTGCCAAACAAACAAATTGTCCTATGTATTCACTCAGTTTACAAAAAGAGAATTTGCTTTAGATTGTATTTCAAAGAAGCAGAAAATTTTGGAAAAAAATTCACTGGTGAAAAGTAGAGTTCTTTATGTGGCCAAGCTGGGTAAGTTTAATATTGGAAATTAAATACTGAGGAATAATGTCCTGAAGGAGCTTCTCTCAGGGGTCTTTTTCAGTTTTAATGCTGTTATCATTTCTAGTGGGAAATTCTGCAGTCAAGACAATTTGCTAGAGGAATTATTTTACCCTTGGGGGAAAATAGTCAGATAAATTGCCTGTTGAATTCCTCTGTCCACTCAATTCCTCTGTCCACTGCCTGGGTGAAAACTTTAACAGGCCTTTTGTTCCTGTTATTCCAGAAGCATGGTCAATGGGTGTATTTAAATGCACCCCAACCTGGCCAACAGATGTGAAGATCACATTATTTTACATCTGGAGAACATGAAGTTGATTTTTGGATTGTTTTCTTTATTTAAGATGGAAAATGTGGTTCTGTAGAGAGAATATTCTGGAACTGGATGATCCTCATTACTCTTTTTGTAGCATTAAGTTGTCACTGCTTTGGTTGAGCCTTTTAGATTCTCTGGGGAGCAGACTTGGCTTTATGAGACCCTCTCGCGTTGCCGGACAGGAGGACCAATGCGAGAGAGAGGGGGGGAGGGAGGGAGCGCTTCAAGGGCGGAGCTCGGAGGCAAAGAAGCGGATAAATAGAGAGTCCTCAGCTAAGAACGAGGAGAACTTCTCCGGGCAGAGAGCCGGTCAGCACCGCGGACAGAGGCACCCAGCAACCGCACCATTGACCTTCCTGCTTCGCTTGCGCCCGCCGGTTGCCCGAAACTCGCGCCATGACCGCGGAGGCTTACCTGCAAGAAGCGACGGTCTCGGCAAGCCAGTTTTTCGCGATCTGGCGCCATTACGACGCTGATGGTGATTGATTACATTGTCCCATTCTTCTAACCCTGTCAGGCTCGGAACCAAAGGGGGAGGGGTGTGTGTGTGAAAACGCTCAAATGCAAAACTAGGCGAGGGACTCGGCGTCCTCCTACTTGCTCTACTGTAAGCAGGAAACTTTGTCAGGCGCAAGTTACAACTTTTACTTCTTTACATCTAAAACGACGGGAACATTTGAGAAAATTGACATTTTCGGAAGGACGAGCACGGGCCAGCCTCCGAGCGGTCGGTCGCTCTGATGGCTTTGGGACTTCTAGCTATTTGCCCTTCGTTCGGCAGCTGAAAGCCTCTAAAAGTCCAAAGCGCCTCCTATAAAACGCAGTCATATAATGTAGAAAGAAATAGGGCATTCTTCTCGGGGAGGCTGAAACCAAAACTGCAACCCTATAAGTATTTTCCGAAGTCTGGTTGCACTCAGTGGGACTGATCTAAACATAGGATTGCTCTGTTAATTTGCAAGTATTGTTATATATCGTCAGGAAGGAAAGAGAGAAACCACTAGAACTGTAACCATTGTGTTCTCTCTCTTGGTGTTACAGGCAATGGATACATGGATGGAAAAGAACTGCAGGGTTTTATCCAAGAACTGCAGCAGGCACGACAGAAAGCTGGCTTGGTAGGTTAAGATGGGGCTTTTTTCTTCTTTTGTAAATATAATATGAGTAGGAAAACCCCCAGAGTAGATGGGAGTCATGTGGCATATAAATTTAATAAAAATAATACTTAACTCCAATAACAAAGCTCCAGTAAAGGATGATTATGACCATGTACATGTTTGGCCATGCACATATCATTTTAAATGCAAATTGATAAAACTGGAGAAATGGAAAAGTTGTGGCTGGAAAATATGGAATCCAGATAAAGAGCAAAATTTTGTGAATCAACACTCTACTAGAGCATTCCAACTCTGGGTTGATAGTAAACAGCTTACTGCATTTGTAAAGAAAGACAGGCAGAACTTTATTCCAGTCATTGCCAATAAAAATACAATCAATAAAATGAATAACACAGTGCTATCCCCTAACAACAAAAACTATTATAAACCATTTGTTGTTACTGTACTTACACATTTTACTACTTTTAGAGAAATAAGTTTATTCTTCTTTAACAGACAGTGCAAATAAAAGCTATCAGAGTGCATTGCAATTTGAATAAAGCAGGTGTGATCAACCTCTTGTGAATGTCCCTGTAAAAACTGGCAATACAGAAGAATATGAGCTGTGGTTTCTATAGCACCCATATCACAGGGGCAGTATTGGGTTTCATGGGGTTTTCCTACATTTCTCTTCCAGGATAGTTGTGGGGAGAACATTAAATGTAGCTAAGGATAAAACTCTCCTAAATTGGGGAACTGTGATATGATATAAATATGAAGCAGGTTTAGACTAATATTTGGATTTCTAGTTATGTTGTGAGAAAAAGCAGCAATTTCTGTTTGACCTTCTATATCTAAGATCCTTCATCTTATTATTGATCTGGCTTGATTTAACTTTAGGATGGCATCACTGGAGAAACCATAGAGATTTGGTTTCTTTTAGACTGCTGTTTCCCCGGAAAAAAATTGTACTTGTCAATATTAAATGGGTCAGTAGGCTAGAATTGTGAAGTAGTTTCAACTGGTAGGTAAATATATTTATCCAGAGATTAGTTTTGAATTTATTAACTCCTGCTTCCTATCCAAGTACTGCATTTGGAACACAGCAGGTACCCTGATAATACTTCTTAGAAATTTTGTTTGAATCTTTCCTAAGGTGATCATACTGTTATATGGTCTTAATTGAGCCCCATATAGCAATTGTGCTTGAGCTTTAGCTGCAAAAACCTTAATTGCAGCAGAAATAAACTGTGCTCCTCTGGAAAAATAATAAGTTTGTGTAGTTGATGCAGAAATCCATGCATTGTGGGAAACACAATCCAGATGATCATTTCTGCTTCCTGAGGCTTGAAAAGCTATTCCTAGATATCTAAAAATCTTAACCTGCTCAATGGACTGCCCACCTAAATTCCAGCTTCTCTATTTTGGGCACTTAGAGAAAGTAAGGATCTTGGTCTTAACATAATTTATTATTAGTTCCTCCTCATTACAGTGATGCATCAGTGATCTCTGAGTTCTTTTAAAGCCAATGGAGGTTAATAACAGGATTACTGCATCACTGGCAAACAGAAGTAAACTGATAGGTCTTTGAGCTAATTTGGGGGATGGAAGGTAGGCCTACTTAGGTGAAGAATTAATGAGTTTACATAATAGTTGAATAAAACTGGAACCAATACACAATCCAGTCTATCTCCCTTCCTTAAGGTATTTCTTTTGTGACATGTCCTTGATTACTGCAACTAACTGTCAGTCTTATATTCTCATGAATTTTGATGAGCAGCAGGAGTAGACATTTGTCATTTGTAGCATTTTTTACTTTATGCCACAATTTAATTCTAAATATTGTGCCCAAAACTGACCTGAAATCAATAAATACTGCATAAAAGGATTGTCCTGAGTTGTATTAAGTATTGCAGCACCAAGGCCCAGTCTAATGTTGATTGTCCTGTTCTAAACTCAGCCTGTTCATCCGCCAGGATATACTTAGATTCAAGCCCTTCAATTAGTTTTGCTTCCTGTAGATATTTGGCATACATTTTGCTAATCTGTCTTAGCAAACTGATTGGGTGGTAGTTAGCTGGATCATCCCTTTTGTCCTTCTTGGTATTATAATAGTCAAGCCCCAATCCTTTGTTATCTTGGCTGAATGATTTACTGCTGTGAAAAGTGACGCTAGCACTGGGATCCACCATTCCAAATTATTTTTTTATTATCATACATAATAAAATTTGAACTTGGGGATTTACTGTACTTAATTTAAACTGTTTAATTATACTTCTGATCTCCGAACATGTGACAGAGAGGTCTCACCAAGTCTGTCAGGGAATTCTCCCTTTACCCATGTAGGGAATAAAATGGTATACAGTGAAGTGCTATTAGAGTTATTGGGAAAGGATGGAGTTACCATTCCCCAAAAGATGGCAGGAATTTTCGCACTGGCAACCACAATCAAGACTTACCAAATATCCACACTGCATTTTTTTAATGCATAATTTTTTTAATATATAAATTAACTGTACTGGGTTGGTTTTTTTTTTTTCAATTTCACTAGGTCAGAAATTGAACAAAATTTCAATTTTGTTTGTATCAAAAAAATATCTTTGTATAATTTTAGGTGACAATTTAGAGAATTCCAAGCTTCACATGACATGTTCTTGGATCATGCCTAACTGTAATAGGTTGGGGGGCAGTTAACAATGATTGAAATAATTTGTTAAGTTATTGAAATTGCCATCCACTGTGGCTTAGTAAAGAGATTTGGTTGACTCCCCTCAAACAAAATTAGTAATTATTGCTGCATGCTGAGGTGTCCATATAGCATGAATAGACCAAAGGTCATAGTAAAAAAGGGTACAAACAACCTATCAAAAAAATTTAGGTGCAAAATAACAAACTTAGATAGGGAATTAAGTCTTGGGAAATCCCAGCATAGTCTAACTGGACTAGTGGTAAACTTAACTGGGTAATTATCACTGCTGGACCCATTTAATACTACCAGATGATTTTGTAAAAGTTTGAAATATGACAAAATCCTCTACAGTCATTGTATACATTCTTAGATTGGTAGAATAAAATAGATGTTATTATAGGAGACAATGGCTGGCAAGGGAGTTTAGCAAAGAGTGATTTATCGTTTGCTCCAGTTCTTGTGTTAAAGTCACCACTAGTATTAAGTATGCTACTGGGAACACAACCATTAAATCTCCCACATAGGTATCTATTGTATCCCTTATTTGTTTCATTTGTAATCATATTTGCAGGGGTGGAATATATGCATTAAACATGAGGAGTTGCCTCTTCCTGAATTGCAGGAGAGTTGCCAATGCATACTGGTTTGATAGTTGTAAACTAGTTATTTATGCAGAATGCCTTAGCCCCAAAAAGCCTTCCATGTTATATGCTAGGCACAGTTTCCAATGTGCCCTTTGATTAGCAGTTTAGCCACATACAATGCTTCCTGGAAAAAAAGTTATGTCATAACTAGAGATATATGCCAGAAAAGATAGGTCTCTACGCCTGGATTTCCATCCTGTGATGTTCCAGGAAATAAAAAACAGAGAAGTAAATATTGGTTGCATGTCATTCAGTTGAGCTGGGCAGTTATTGCTGTAGGCATTTCCTGAGAAACACTGAGAAGGAGGTCGTATATCCCACAACTCCTGCACTGTCAACTGCAGCACTGGAACAGTATATATCAGATATCCAGGTGCCCTTTAATGAGGCTGAGATGGAATCCTGTAAATGTTGATCTGCAAACTCAGTTATCTGTGGAGCTAAGTTTTCAGCTCCTAGGGCAGGGGTAGGCAACCCAAAACACTCAAAGAGCCACTTGGACCCGTTTCCCACCAAAAACAAAACACCGGGAGCCGCAAAACCCTTTTGATATCTAAAATGAAGATAACACTGTATATATCCTTTTTTACCTTTATTATAGGTGTGTGTGTGTGTGTGTGTATATATATTACATACACACACACACATATATATATATAAATTACATACACACACAGGTAAAAAATGATATATGCAGTGTTATCTTCATTTTAGATGTCAAAAGGGTCTCTCTCTCTCTCTGTCTCTCTCCCTCCCTCCCTCTCTATCCGCCCTTGGTCTGCCACTCCTCTTCCCCCACTCTCTTTCTTTCTCTTTCTTTCTCTCTCTCTCTTTCCTCTCTCTCTCTCTCTCTCTCTCTCTCTCTCTCTCTCTCTTTCTCTCCCCCCTCCTATCTGCTGCTCACCTGGAAAGCTTCAAGCTGTTGTCCAACAAGCTCAGGGGTAAGCAACCTCGTCTCTTTTATGACTCATGGACTTCAACTCCCAGAATTCCTGAGTCAGCCTAGCTGGGCTAGCTAGCTCTCTCCTGCCCTTCCTGCTTCCTGCTTCCTGCAGAGACACAGCAAAGGGAGGAGCTCCTCCCAGTAAGCTTTTCAGCTCCTCGGAGAACACTGTGAGTGCACTCTCTTTTACACACACACACACACACAAACAAACACAAACACACACACACACACACACACACACAGAGAGAGAGAGAGAGAGAGAGAGAGAGAGAGAGAGAGAGAGAGAGGCTGGGAGCCACAGGGGAAGGCTCAAAGAGCCGCATGCGGCTCCGGAGCCGCAGGTTGCCGACCTGTGTCCTAGGGGTATGTTGGATTCTTCAGTGACATAAGCTAGTTATTTGTCTGATTTGCCTATCTACGAACTTGGAGACAAGTTCATATTAATATCACTTTTGAACCTTCTGCAGGGGGCACAGAAACCAAATCAAGGGGGCAATTGTCTTGTCCACTGTGGATTAAGTTTGTGTAAGGTACTCTAACTTCTTTAATAAGCCCTCCTGTTTGTAACCAGGCAAGGTTCCAAAGGTTCCAATTATTTCTGCTACCAGCAGTTTAGCTAAAATTTGCCCTTCTCTCTCTGCCTGAAATTGCTTATCTAAATGAGCTTGTCCCAAGAAGAGGGTTGGTTTGTGATCTTTGCAACTGGGGCAGCAGCATCCATTCCTGATTTCTCAAAATTAAAGGATGGTAGTACCTTGATGTAATGGCTCAATGAATGGGAAGATCTGTGTCTCAAAAAATACAGTGGAAATATGAGGAAAGTAGCATGGATTTAATTTTGAAAAGCATACTTGGGATAATAAACTGCTTGAAGGTCAGCAAAATTTGCATACAGTCCATCTTGCTAGGCTGTTGTTTCACCGAGTGTAAGTCAATTGCACAGTAATGACATAGAAGCAGCTGACTTAGGGAGTAATATATGCTTTCTTGAACCTCACCATCTACTGCTGAGTCTATTAAAGCTGATTTGTAAGTAGATTAGTTTGCAACACATGCTTGTTTTGATCTTGATTTTCAGCCCTTCTCTGCCTCAAGGTTTGGAAGGCAGATTTATTTTGGAATTTGTTCCCTTTTCTCTATTAATTCGTGGTATAAAGCTTGTGTTTCAGTTAGAGTAGCTTGAGCATTTTTGGATCACAGTTTCCTGCTTCAACAAGGTGAGTTAATTTATTGTGGAAAGATTGGATAAATGCATCAAGGGACTCTTTCAGCAAGTCCACATTCAATTTTGTTTCTGTTAAATAGTCAAAAATTAGTAATTCAGTCTATGCAATTAGTGCGTTTTGCTTAGAATGTGAGTTCTGTAGTCTCATTTTTAGAAATCTCTTCCTGAAAGATTTTTTTTTTATAGGAGATGCTGCAGTTGAGTATGCAACTGCCTCAGGAGAAGAGACTATTATATCTAAAATATCTAGGGAATTTGGTTCTTCAGTGTTAAGTGGGATGGTCCTCTGCACTATTATCTTTTTAAGTCCCAATTCATATTTGTTTGAAGCATGTCCAGGAGTTGGTTTAGTGATAATACTGTTGTAGGTGCCGTCATCATTTAATTTTAATTTTCAGACACCTTCTTTTTAAATTCCATTATGTCATCTGTTTTGTTGCTTACATGATTTGAGCAATATCTGTATGACAGAATTCATTCTTTGTCATTTCTTCCTCTTTCCCATGTGGTAATCTTCCTGTGGTGGTAATGCATACATAGTTCTTCTCAGCAAGTTGTTTGGAGATTAGTCAAATGCAGTTATGCACCAGAACCAGTAATTTAAAAAGTGGATTAGTCTGATAATATAAGATAAAAATAGAAAATTACCATGCATTCTGATCACTAGATGCTTTCACTTCGCCATTTTAACTCCTCATCTAAAGAAATGTTTACTTGCATTGTGCTTTTTAGTATGGATAAAGGAATTTCCTTTAGAATAAGGATATGACTATACTACAGTATATAGACTGAAATATGTTTCTGCCCCTTGGTAGCTGAGAAACAGAGCTGCACACAGTATACACAGACACATAGATTCCAAAATGCACACTCTTACATACTTACATATCTACTGGATGGTGAAGAACTGGAATCATTAGGAATTCATGTGTCTAACAGAGGTGTTTGAAATTGCTTTCTTGAAAGAAAAATAAAGTAGAAATAAATTGATGTGTTACTTGATATTTTTAAAAGTTGTTGAAGCTGTTGGCACTCATAGCATGTAATACATATTTTTCTGAATATTGCTGAGAACTATTTTTTATTGGTTTCTGGGCAGGGTTTATCTGCAACAGTTCTCCTTATACTGACATCCAAGAGATGAGCTAGGACCACAGCTTGTAGGATGAATATCTTAGCTGGGAATTGTTTATTCACTGTCATAATCTAGTTAGATGGTGTTAGCTTAAAGAAGGTGGCTTGTTGAGAATTTGCTTTCTGTGAAGTTTATATCTAATTATTAAGTGCCCAGTAAAATGATCACAGTATGAACATAGCTTGGTACTAACATTTAATCATTAGCTAGTTCCACAGCTGCATTTAGTTGCAGAGTCAGTTTCATTCATGCCACAGTTAATTGCCTTAAGTTTTGGATGCCTTTGTCCATTTCAGATTTACTTTAATTATAGGGAGAATGGAAAAATCTCCCTTCACCTCTCCTTTTTCTTTGATTTTCCAATACAAGGTTTACAAAAAAGCCAAGACACGGATAACTTCAAGTGCTCACCATTGCATTGATTAATAACTATAAGTGATTATACTATTTTATACCTTCCAATAGTTTCTCTTCAGGATCTATGAGAATCCTCTGTCATTATTATGCATTGTACATTAAAACCATGAAGCTTTAGTTGTAATGAATATGGATTGTTGATTGAAAAGTTAATAATTGTATTATTATTATTATTATTATTTTGCTGTTTTGTGTATTTCTGCATAGGACTACAAACAGTTTACAAATAAGATATAAAATAATAATAACAGATTTAATAATTGTTGATAAGAAAAACAAAAAAAAGTCTGGATACAGGAGAATAGAAAAGAATAGAAAATCACAAAATAAAAGATGTGCAACTAGAAGTAAAATGACTATGGCAAAAGAAAGCAAAGATTGTACCAACAGTAATAGGTGCCTTGGATATGAAAGCAAAAGAACTGGAGCACCACTTGACACCATGGGAAACAAACAAAATCCCCATCAATCAATTGCAAAAAGTAGCTTTACTTGAAACAGCTAACATCCTGTGATAATATCATTAAACATCATTTGCCTATCCCAGGTCCTTAGATGAACATATCCAGACTAAATATCTGACTGGGAGATCAACTGTAGTAGTAGTAGTAGTAATAGTAGTAGTAGTAGTAGTAGTAGTAGTAGTAGTAGTAGTAGTAGTAGTAATGATGATGATGATGTTTTATTTGAGTGAAAAAGATAATAAAATCCAAACAGTGGAGAAAATACTATCAAGGCAATTAACACCAGTGCAGTTCCAATCATTAGATACTCATCTGGAATAGTGGACTCAAGCAAAACTAACAGCTTCTGGATAGGAAATCCAGAAAGATAATGACAATGAATCATGTCTATCATCCAAGCACCAATGTTGACATACTCTACGTACCAAAGAGCATAGGAGGGCACGAATGTTGCAAGTACCCCAGACAGTTAAAGAAGCCTATCTGAAGGACAGTGAATAAGATACACTGAAGCTAGTACACCATGAAGGCTTACTGAATAACAGAGAAAAATAGAAGAATAGAAGAGAATGAAGAAAAGAAGAGAGACATGGCAAGGCAAATTATTTCATGGCCTGAACATTAAAAAAAACCAAACCCTTATCTGACAATGCAGATAATAAGACATGACAATGGCTATATAGTAGCAGTAGAATAATTATTCAAAAGAAAGCAAAGATAGTACCGATAGTAATAGGCATCTTGGATGCATTTTCAAAACATCTGGAGCACAATTTGAACATTATCAGCATTGACAAATTACCATCACTCAATTTATTTGGAACAGATTTCATTGTCGTGATAGGGATATTTTTAAAACTATCGTGCAATAACATCTGGCTATCTGCATTCATATATTCTTGGTATTCAGCACTGTGTAACTCACAGGTGTCAAACTTGCGATGTCACATGACATGTTGTGACTTTTTTCCCATTGCCGGCAATGGGGTGGGCGCAGTTTTGGCGTGACACATTCAGCCCTTGGACTGGCAGTTTGACACCCCCGGTGTAACTGAATTCTCTTTGCCTAAGAATTGTCAGCATTCACATACAACATATGGTGCTCATTGGTAATAACGTATACTATAACTACATGTCAGATCCAAACATAGTTATGCCTAGAACAAACTCACTAAAATCATACGGAACACTAACTAGCTTAATGTAGCATAGCTTTATACAGATTCACCCCAAGGCAGAAAATGAGCTTTTACAGTGTACCAGCCAAACTGAGTGCAAATTAAACCTTCCCACTGACCCCATTCTGAACAGAAAGAAATAAACGTTTTCCCAGGAAACGGGACAATCATTTCTTATTATCTTCTTCTATGCTGATGGTTTCATGGTTTTCCTGTGCCATTCTTTAGTTGTGTGGCTGATTAGTTTGTGTAAAAAAGAGGTTTATTTGGCAATGGACAGATCCACTTTCCCTGGATTATTGTGTTGCTGTGTGCATTTAGAAGTATATCTGAATGGATATTGTCACCTATTTCTGCATACCCCTGGTTGAGTACATATGACTGAAGGAGTAGATCACCTTTTCTTGAACACTCAGTATAAAGAGTAGATCTCCCTTTTTGGAAAGCTTTTCATATACTTTCTCAAGAGGCAAAAATAGTTCTTTTAAAGGAAACACCCTAAACATGTGAAAATGGCAAGAATACAGAGTAGTGACTAATGTTCATTATAGCTAGAGAGAACAAGAATCCTGAGTTTTTTTAAGTCATAGATTTATTTATATATCTTAATCTGAAATTTAATAAAAATCAGACAGAGATTTTTCATTTTATAAATTCATTTCTTAGCATCCATGAACTTAGTTTTTTTTATCAAGACGCCTCTTAATGTGACTATTCTTAATGAATTAGGCTGCATCTTTTCTTTTTTAATGAGGTTGACTTCTCTCTAGAGGTCAGGGTCAGTCTACTCTGCATTGCAATAATTCAGTGCTTTGCAATATGGGCAAAATTTATGGGATGGATTGTGGTCTTCCTTCCTTTTTGTCTGTGCCTAAAAAAGATAATCAACATGCTTTTTATTTACAGGGCTTAACCCCAGAAATGAAAACTTTTGTGGACCACTTTTCAAAGAGTTCTGATGGAAAAATAGGAATTGTAGAGGTACGATTGCTTCTTATTCTGCATTAATTTACATGCTGTGCAGTTATAGCTGTGCAGAGACACAAAATATAATATGTTTATTTGTTTGTTTGTTTATATTTCATATTTCTAAACCACCCATCTCCCTCAAAAATGGGCTCTGGGTGGTGTCCAATATAATATAACCAATAAATAACATAATGTATAAAAATTAACATTAGAAATTAAAAATTAAATTAGGGTAAAAAATTTCAAAAGTATGGGAAAATGCAATTAAACATCAAAAGGGGGGAAATCCTAAGATGGAGTATTACAGACAGGGGGGCAGCTCTCAAGTGACTAGCAAGCCCCATGGTTGTGGAAGGCCAAGAGATTGGGGAATTTTCTTCACTTCTGGGAGGAAGATGTTCCACAAAGCAGAGGGCAGCAGCATAGCAGGGTCTCTTCCTAGACCCCACCAGACAAAATTCTTTGACTGACGCGGTGAGTAGCATATCTTCCCTGCCTGATCGAGTGAAACTGGCTGCTGAGATTGGGCGAAGCCGGTTTTGTAGATAACTTGGTCCTATGCCATGTAGGGCTTTATATGTGAAAACCAACACTTTGAACTGGACCTGGAAACAATTGGTACTCAGGACAGTTTGCGGATTAAGGTGTTATATATGATATGCATATAATACATGTATATTTTAATACATGTACTAAGCTACAAGATGTTATATAACCACCTTTTTTGCAGAGGAAGTCTTGAGGCCCAGTCAGATTATAGTTCTCTAGTCTGAGGAAAGGAAGGGGTACCATTTATATCATCTGTTTTTCTCCTGTGAATGGTCCCATTCTGAAGTGAATCCATTTGTCATTTGCATGTCATCTTGAGATAATTTTATAAAATAGTAGTGGAGGGGTGGTAGATTGAATTTGTTCTGATATATATTCAGTCAATGCCTCTGAGCAAACTCTGTGAACTCTTAGCTGTACTGTCTCTATTTGCCATTCATGTAACTGAGCAATGACATTACTAATATTTCATTATAAACTAAAAGAGAATAGATTGATACCATTTACTCCCTTTCAAAATATTAGTGCAACTGAAGCTTTCATCATATCTTGATCAGCCTATACTCCCCAATTAAGTACAACAGTATGCTTTGGAATTTGCTTTATTCAAGCAAAAACAGAAAGTGTGTCTTTTAAAGAAATCCAGAGGAAAGAGAATATTTAAGAGGATTAGAATTATTTTCTGATAAACCATGGAAAGATGTAAGACCATTTTTGCTAGATAAGTATCCAGGTTGCAGCAATAATCATGACATATGATATTCTCAAGACGACAAGATGGCTTGAAACAGACCATTTTACAAAGTTTGTGTCCATTCTTGAGGATCTATTTCATCTTTTGGTCATTGCTGCATGACAAAATAAGGGATCTACAGTCCTTCAGCAGCTGCTGCACTACAGCAACTGTTGACATAATAGTTAGGGTGGTGGGAATTGGAGTCTAAAAACATTAGAAAGAAAAATAAGCTTCTGATCCCTGCCATACAATACTGATCAAGTATTCCATGACATTTCCGGAAATCAATTCCTGAAAAAATATCCAGATTCCCCATGGGAGGTATTTTCCAAAGTCACATTCAAAAAATACATTTGTTACAGAAAATATTCACAATTTGAAATAGTGTCACTGAATCATTTGATCTAGATCTGAAGCCAGATTGTAATTGGTTGATTTCAAGGCTACCAAGCATCATGTCAAGAATCTGTTAATTCATGGAAAGTGCAGGAGGAAGAATTGAACTGAAGCCACAGTGTGTATAAGAGTCATTTGCACATTCTTACTGCCATAAATCAAATGTTTTGTACAGCTTCATGATAGTCTGCAATACAATATTGCTCTAGCCACACTGACTCTGAGTCTTCTACCAGGTCTAGACTAGCAGTTGACCTAAATCATAAAATATCAAAAGATTGGTGATCTCCTGCTTAGTCCTGGAGATGGGCAAGGACTTTTAAGATTCCAAGATGCCTATTAGCAGAAGGTTCATTCATTCTATTGCCTACCTTTCTTCTCGTTATATCTTATATAGTTCCCCCCCCCCCCCCAGGAAGGGCTATCCACTGACGTCAGTGACTTAGTATCTTCAATGGGGGGGAGCTCAAAATATTAACATTACTCTTTAGATTTCATTTTGACTTTGTTTTCTATCTTGAATTGAAATCATTGATATACCTCATCATTCTGAAAGTAGAACACTTCCTTGGATGGTACTACAAGAAAATAAGCCAAAGGCAAATACTCCTCTGAAAAGGTCTTGAATGCACTACTTCTCTCTTCTCAGACTCTTGTTACTGATTTTTTTAGATGATGGTCACTTCATCCATCCTTTCTTCATTTTTCCACTGTTAAAAAGTCTATTTTCTGTTCCTTCCTCCCACTGTTTTTTATGCAGCTGTATTCCACCCCTTAATTTGTATAATTTAAAGAAAACCAGGAAATACAATGGAGAATCTATCATTCTTTCTCCCTTCTTTATCTGAAGCTTATTGAAATTTGAAAATATTAGTGGAAAAGGCCCCAACTTTCAAAAAACAAAGCTAATCTGGGTGATTGGAGAGTCCTTTTCTCATTTACAAATCAATATGAAAAGTTATTTTGCTTCTCTTAACAATAAAACATATTTACAACATTAAAATTTCACTAGCATGTAATAATCAGCCATTTGAAAATTGGAAAAATTTAGAAAGGAAGATCACTGGTTTATTTTGTTGGAACATGTAGGATGGATCAATAGGCTAAAGATTCTTGGCTAACTCACATATCACTGCTAGCCACTTATAAAATGAAAAGGCTAAATACACATATTGCACCAAGCCAAAACAAAATTAATCACATTAGGACTCCTATCACTTTATCATTTGTGATCTAAAACTTAATCACTTTGTTGTTTGTATATACACTGCATAGGAAACAAATTCCTTGTGTGTCTAATCACACTTGGCCAAAAAAGAATTCTGTTCTGTTCTGTTCTATTCTCCATTCCACTCCACTCCATTCCATTTCTTCCAGTTTAGTGCTGTGATAGTTCAATGTATTGGGTACACAATAAATTATTCATGGATTGTACCTGGTATTTACAAACTACTAATCAGTTGTATGCAAATGTTTCTTATTTCCTTCTGGAAACATAGTGCAGTAAATTATATTATTATTCTAGTTAGAAAAATAATTCTAAATAGAAGTTTTTTTTCCTTCAGCTTGCTCAGATACTGCCAACAGAAGAAAACTTCCTATTATTTTTTAGATGCCAACAGCTGAAATCTAGTGAAGATTTCATGCAGGTAATCCACATACATTTTTGCTTGTGAAAAATTGCATTGGCAAGGTGCAAAACTTTGCATATGGATGTATGCATTTTTTTTCAGTTGCTATGTTCTTAATTTCAGACGTGGCGAAAATATGATAGTGACCATAGTGGATATATTGATGCTGAAGAGCTTAAGGTAAAAAAAATCTATATAATCATTTCTTTGATATCTGGGACATTCTACATCAAAAGTACTTGCATAAAGCAACAAAATAAACAAATCTCTAAAAGTAGAGGCTGTACAACATAGCTGTAAAGACCAAAGAGTTTAATTTACTGTGCTATTTCTATTCCAAGTACATTATGCCAGCAACATTTAAAAATTATAATTCCAAAGAAGAAAACTTACAGAGTACAACTTCAGATTTCTTTTAGAGTATATAACCTCCCTAAAACCAGTTTTGCATCCCATGAATGCCTGCAGATTATTGTTTCTGGATTGCACCATTGTTCTGACTGGATTGCAGGAATAAACATTGTATGGGAAAACAGAAAGCTAAACACTAGGGAGAAAGCCGTAGCTTAAATTTCTTAAGAAATACTTCTTTCTCTGTGAAGATAAGGTATTCATCTATGTAATTACTTATTCCTGGAGCCTGAAGCAGTACAACCTAGGAACTGATTTATTTCTACCAAATGTGTTTTGCCTTTCAGCTAAATTTAAAACAACAAATATATAATAAAACACTGATCAGGAGAGTAAGTTATAAAATTAACAAAATCAAATATAACTACATGTATCGTAGCACGTCTTAATGTCCTAACCGAGATAAAGCCAAGAGATATAGATAGGGTTTTAGTAGATGTCAACTGGCATAAATTTCTTCAACAATGGATGACTATTGTACTTAGAAGGGCTACAGAAAATTTTTTTTTCTAAGCATAGACATACAACTATCATCAAATCCAGCAGAAGAGGTACGGTATATTATGGATCCCATCTGCTAGGGAGCTGCACTTGGCAGGACCCAGTGAGGCCAGCTTCATCCCTGTTGATATATGGAAGTCCCTCAAAACTAGGTTATGCTATCAAGCCAGGATATCCCAGGGGACGAGTGAGGTACTGAGGAAGTTCCATCGTAGTTGACATTGGCTGCCCTCAATTTAATAGCAATTTGTTTCCTGGATATTTTAAAAAATATATTATTGTTTTATACTTTTATTATATACCATCCCAGGTCACTTGTTTTGTGAGATGGGCAGTTGTATAAATTCAATGAATGAATAAATAAATAGAGCAGTGACAGCTGATTGCAGAAGTGGACAGATTATGTTTTGAATCAGTCTAAGGAAAGTCACACAGATTATATGCCTTATTTCATCTTAAGACCTTTCACGGTTTTCTCAGATAGAATAATGAAAATGTTCTGGGCTTCTGTTTAGCTAAAACATGAGCAACCTAAAATAGCCCAGCTGAGTTTCCTACACATTTTCCCACTTGTGCCCATTCCTATTAAAAGCAAAAATAATACCAAGAATAATATCAAGAAAGAAATTCAGAACAAGCATATGTAGGGATTTTTTGTGATAGGCATTCATAATTCCCCAGCTCTCAAAACTTCTACCTTAATAAAGAATTTTATCATGCCACTAAAGTAGGGCAACTGGCTGCCCATCTGGGAAACAAAATTTTCTTGCAAGGTCAGGAAAGCAACTTCAGCTCTGCTAACTAATTACGGAACCTGCATTTAAAAGAACAGGCACTGCCAGAACTGAGTGATCAGGAAAGGCAAGCCTGTAGCCCTAGGGTCACGCATAATCTGTGATCTAATTTGAAAATACTTTTGGAAGGACCAAGCATTCTCCTAAGGGCTTGATGTCCTTTCCCCATAGCCTGTTGCTTAGAAGAAATCAGTATCAAAGAAAATCAGGAGTGTTTGATGAGAAATGACTTTATCCAAATTAGTTCTGACCTCACCTGCTGCTTGTCTCAGTCTTCCCCAGCATACACCTACCCAAAGGGAGTCCCATTCTTACATAAAGCTCTATTCAGGGTATTAAACTCAATTAAATGATGACATTTAGAACTCAAAGAAGCACTATGTTTAGGAAACAAAATTCTAACTTTAAGTTGAGCACCAGTTGATGGGGAAGTGCTAAAGCAGTACTACTTAGTCACGAGACATATATCACCTTTCTCCTAACATTTGGCTTCTGTCCTTATAAAAAAATAAGTCAAGCTATTTGTACTCTTAGAAACTTCCAACAATTTTCAAGTAGCCCCAAATCACAAAACAACCAACATTCAGGAAGTCACCAACAGGCCTACCAGTTGGTCAGAGGAATGAAGCTGTGACTCCAAACTTGTGACACTCTTAACATAAACTGGAATAGAAGCTTTCCTTATGCCTACTAGCTGGACAGAGAATTATTCTGTAATATAATGCTAATACATTAGATTTACATTATGGTATAATGCAGGCTAATCTACCTGATCCTCCCAATTGAGAAGACTAGCCATCTTGAATGTAAGAGACAGATTCAGTTTTCAATTGGCATGACTGTTACTCGCTATACTCCTGTACTTTGCATTTCAAAGATGTATAGGGCAATCTATTAAGGTCAATGATTCTTACCCCCAAATATGAATGAATTGGGATTATAGCTTTTATATTTTCATAGAATAATGAGGAAAAATGTTATTTCTCTATCCATAATTAACTAGAAGAAAAAGATTTTATTCTGCAAGCATATCAAAGTATTGCTTTTTGATATATTAATTTTGTTTCAGAACTTTTTGAAAGATTTACTACAGAAAGCAAACAAACAGATTGATGATTCAAAACTATCAGAATACACAGATATTATGGTAAGACCTATAACTGCTATTTCTTTGTTGAAATTACAGTAATTGCCCTACCCCATTTTAAGATACCCATACAGAACTTAAAATAATATCTCATAAATGTATTTAGATTTTGTCACCTCACCCTTTGAGTTACAATTTAGTTGGCTCCATATGGTTCATAAATAAAGAATGGGCAATAAAAAAACTCTGAAATAATAACTGAAGAAATTCAGCAGGCTAATCTATAACAGGTCCATTTTGTGTGTACCAGAACAGTCCATTATCATCTTTGTGCATTTGTGTTGCATGGATTTTATTTACAGAATTGTCTACAATGGCCATCCCAGCTGAGAAATCTGGGAGTTGAGGACATCATGTTAGGAAAGTCTGCTCTGTCTTCTGGAGATAATGAATTGAAACTCAAGAGAGTTTTGGGAATGCCATATACTGCATGTACATAACATAGTTTCAGCTAAATTAATGTTGTAGTGAACTGCCATCGCCTTGGGAAAATTTTGCATAATCAGCCTCAGAAGGTGGGATTTGGAGATGTGGGGCTTGGGGAGTGCTATTGTAGTTAGAACAATGAACAATAGAACAGTTATTGTGCATCTTGTGCATTTTGGGGGTGGGTGGGGTAAATAATAAATGTAGTTTTCACCATTTTAATTCTAACAATTGTACAGTATTTATATTAACTTTTATCCAACCTTCCTTTGTGGACCTATACAGAATTCTTAATCAGTATGAAAAACTTCTTAGAAAATCAGTCTAAAGACTGCATTGTCAGCTATTTTTCTATGTAAAGAATGACTTTGGGTCTGATGGCTTTTAGAGGAGAACATGATAACCAGCAATTCTCCTTCATAACCTTCTATACCAGTGGTTCTCAACCTTTTTAATGCCGCGACCCCCAACCGGTCGTAAGTCGAGGACTACTGAACCGGTCATAAGTCGAGGACTATTCAACTGGTGCAGCACCGTTTGCAGAATGGGACTTTTGGCGGGCTCAGCAGGGCAGAGACAGCCTGGACAATTCCTATTGGCTTTTGAAAGCCAATAGAATTAGACTCTATTCAAGAGAGTCTATTCTATTGGCTTTCAAAAGCCAATAGAATAAAAGGGAGTAGCACAGCTAAGGAAAAGGGGGAAAAAATGGCGGACTGCGTTGTTTGGCGACCCCCGTGAAATGGTCATTCGACCCCAAATGGGGTCCCGACCCACAAGTTGAGAACCACTGTTCTATACTTTCCTGGAGATCTCCCAAGCTTTCAGAAATGAACCCTGATTGCAGAACTCAATGCCAGGATTTGGGATCCAACCTGATCAAAACAAAATGTAAAAGCTGATGTAAAAGCTGTTGAAGAATATGATAGAGTAAAGTACATGTCATTAAAAGGTCTCTTGAAATCCAAACATTTGAAGAGTGAACATGACTTCATGGGGGGCTACTGGGTTTTACTGAGTTAGCATATTTCCCAGATACGAGAGACCCGTGCTTTTAGTCAAACTTTTCTCCTTTTGATTTTTTAAAAATAAACTTCTCATAGACTATAACTTTACCTTTTCAGCTGAAGATGTTTGATGAAAACAATGATGGAAAGCTGGAACTGACAGAACTGGCCCGGTAAGAATATTTGGAGAAAAAAGTAAAAAAATCTCATCAATTGGTTGTGGAACATGACACAATGCAAGTGGGTAAAAGGAATGCTGGTACTGAGTACAAAGTGCAAAGCCAGTGCTATAGGATGTGCTGGATTGGTTCCTCCAAGGATAAACTGAGCAGTCCATCCTTGGGTGGAAAAGGTCAACCCAAGCAAGCAATTGTCCAGATGTCTACATGCACTGTTCTTTGATATAGGGAAGAAGGAAATGAGGGCTTCCAAGAGAAGAAACGACCGCACTTCTAGGCCCAGCTAGCAATACCGTCCTCTACTCCCAGCAATTTGTTTGTCTATTTGTATCCCTTTATTATTACTACAAATAACTTAAGGCATTGAACATATCCAACACACCTTCCTCCTCCTATTGTCCCCACAACCCTGGAGGTGAGTTGGGCTGAGAGTGTGACTGGCCCAAGGTCACCCAGCTACCTAATTCTATGCTTCAAATAGGCATTTAAAAAAAAGTCTTCTCAAAGGATTTGTCTACAAAATACAGGATATTTCAGCTCATTTGACTTCTCAGCATCTATTAATCTTTAAAGAGAGTGAAGTATATGTGCTCAAAGTGTTTTGAAGCCAAAGTATTTTGACCTAGAAACAGTATCAATTTGAAATGCTTAATTCTGAGTTCAACCAGCTGTTCACTGAAGAAGTGGTGTGAGAGAGAAATAATTTCTGGCGAAAATACCTGCAATGAAACATTAATGCTTTCAACTTGAAATAACACTAACAAACTGGATATGGGTTGTTTCAAGCTCAAAGCATTTCAGATTTGAAATAATTTGCTTTGCTCTGTTCTCTACTTGTTTAGTCACTATGGAATTGTTCTGAATTTGTTTTCTCCCAAGGTTACTGCCAGTCCAGGAAAACTTTCTCCTTAAATTTCAGGTATGCCAGTTTAAAAGTGTTCTATATATTCATATACTGATATCCTGATTCATTTCTGTTCTAATATTTGTCCTTCTTTTGAATATTAGGGTGTTAAAATGTGTGGAAAGGAATTTAATAAAGTTTTCGATACATTTGATTCAGTAAGTAGACTTTTTTTTAAAGATAAAGTCTGTGAACCAAAGTTTTCAATGTATTTCTAAGCTGCAACAAGTCAATGAAAGAAAGCAGCAGAAATGAATAATGCTGTTTTTTTTTTCTATTCAGGATGGGAATGGCTACATAGATGAACAGGAATTAGATGCTTTGCTAAAAGATCTCTGTGAAAAGAATAAAAAGGTAATTCTAAGATTTCCATTTAAATTGTACTTAACGGGCCTTTTTCTCATTCAAAGTCTAGCCAGTTCAAGAAGCTCTTTTGAAATTCTCTATATTTAGAATTCTGGATACAAAAGGAATGAAATCATATATGTAATACCAGACAGCACAGTTTACTCCTACATTAACTCTATTTGCATCACTGCTTTAGTAAAACAGCCACCATTTCTCTTAGATGTGTCTCCAGGCTGAAAGTATAGTAGCTGTCCTATCCGGCTTCCTTCTTTGAACTGAATACCTATTAACAATGAATTTGAAAAGGATCGCACAATGCTATGTCTTAACAAAGACAAAAATAGCTGCTCTCTTCTCAAACCTCTTTCTACTGTTTTCTTTCAAGCAGCCCACAGGGAGCAGCAATTAACCATATTCCCTTAGAGGACCATAAATATCAAACAAAAAGTCCATATCTAGCAACACCCCTGGTAGTTAACTCATAGTAAAATGGTAGGGAATGTGCACTTACTGACAAAAGAATGGAAACACAGTTGTCGATATGGTACAATGTCACTCCTGGGGCAGGATTCACATAGGTTGCTAAGGTGAGGGTTAGCATCCCATAGACGATAGCTTCCCAAACCAAAATTCTGCAGTAAAATAATGCTTTTTTTTTGCTCTTTGCCCCCCTCAAAAGTATTTTCTTTTGCAAAAATAAATTTAAAAATGTGTGCATGAAGCTTTATTAGGTTTAACACAAATGTTTTGATTTGATTGTTCCAGCCCAGAAATTCAACCCTTCTCATTCGGTGGCACATCATTGGCTATGCCCACTGTGACCCCTGAGAGACAAATAAAAAGTAAACAAATACATAAATAAATAATCCTTACCTGCCAAAGGACTATTAAGCTTACAGTAGGGATTTTTAACTGTTTTTTTTAATAACCCACAGTTGACTGGGTTAATAGATTGCACTAAACCAAGCATGTCAAACTTGTGATGTCACGCAACATATTGCAACGTTTTTCCTATTGCGGGCAATGGGTGGGCGTGGTTTTGGTGTGACACATCCGGGCCCACAGGGCGGCAGTTTGACATGCCTGCACTAAACCATCAAGCAGGTGTTATAATCTGCAATTGTTTAAATCAGGGCTTTTCAACCTTTTCACCGATTGTACCACTTTTAGGATATGGCAATATTCAAGTACCACCTAGCAAGGTGTCAAAAACCTGATGAGCAAAAAAAAAAAAAAAAACCTATTCAAAGTTGCAACTGCACTGAAATGACTTATGACCATTTTTCACATTTATGACCATTGCAGCATGCCCAGAGTCATATGATTTATATTTGGATGCTTGGTAACTGATTCATATTTATGATGGTCAGTGTCCCAGGGTCATGTGATCCCCTTTTGCAACCTTTTGACAAGCAAAGTCAAGGGCAGGGCTGCTGGTGGCCAAGTGCTAAGGCAGGACTTGCCTCCCTCCCTCCCTGCCTCCCTCTTTCTCATGCCCACCTCCTTCTGAAGGAAGAATTTGAACCCCCCCCCCTATTTTTTCTCTTCCATATATTCATCAAACAAGGGAAAGCCTCCAGAGACAGAAAAGACAAACTGCTGAGTGAACTAGCTTAAAAAGGCACATTCCCCTTTAAGAATTATCTACTGGCTAGAAAGAAAAGTTAAAGAGCGCAGCCAGTACTTAAGAAAGAAAAAAAAATGTAGTAAGTATTGGCTGCCGGCTAAGGCAGCCTCCCCAAATGGCTCCATTCATAAGTAAAGGCAAAATCCATTCAGGAGAAAAATACTTCAAAATCCCTTGCAGCAAAACTTACAGCTAACAATAGCATAGAAGCTAACATAAGCCATCAGCCAAATAGAAATTGCCAAACAGTCATTAAGAACACAAAGCCCACTTTGCACAAATCCCAGAACTTCAAAGTCACAAAAGCACATAAGAATCCTTCCACTCTCCATCTTCCTCCCTCCCTCCCTCACCTCCAGCCATTGCTGCCTTTTTTCATTCAGTTGTAGATCAGCTCATGGCCGGCCGCTTGATCTCCTCTCCTCTCCCGCCACCCTCCTCCTCCTCCTTCTTCTTTCCCTTTGGTGCAGCTAGAGATGACTCCGCCTCCTCCCAAGGCTGCTGCTTTTTTTCCTCTTTCCCTCTCCTGCCCAAACTGCCTCCTTTTATAGCCTCTCCTGTCTCCGCCCCCCCTCCTCCTCCTTCTCATAGGGGAGAGTGAGCCAGAAGTGAGCCTGGGGCCTTTGCCTCACCCCAGCCACTCTGCAGCTCCAGAGGATCTCTCACAGTAAGTCCTTGCCTGTGCTGGCTCTTTCCCTCCCCCACTACACTTGGCTAGGCAGGGCTGCATACCACCTGCCATTCGTTAATGTACCACAAGTCGTACGGGTACCACTGGTTGAAAAGCCCTGGTTTAAATCGTAACTATACAAAAAGCAAACAGTAATTTAGTTTAGCACAACACATAAACACAACCCCAGAAATACACATTGCTTCTCACACTCACAAATGTTTCTAAATCAGCTCCTTTCAAATGGCTTGGTAACAACTGTTCCTGTTCCCAACCACTTCAGTGTAAATGTGAGAAATGCAATTCAACACTACTGGAGGATGTCAAATCAAAAGGAATGATATCTAGTGACTTTAAAATACATTTTCTTTTTTTAAAAACAGGAATTAGATATCAATAACCTTGCAACCTACAAGAAGAACATTATGGCTTTGTCTGATGGAGGAAAACTTTACAGAACAGAACTTGGTCTCATCCTCTGCGCCGGGGAAAATTAGAATCTATCCTCATTTCCACTCCAACTAGTAATATATTGTATCTTAAAAAACAAAAGGGGAAATTAACTGTGCATTATAAGAGAGTAGGCTTTATTTCTTTTATACTTTGTAAATTTAAAATTGCATATAGATAATTAGCCAGGTTATGTGGCACATTCTTTTCAGCTTGTTTCTACTATGTTCGTAATGTACAGCTTTTGTAACTAAAGAGGATGTCTTAATTACCTGGACCAGTCTATCAATACATTTACCAATAAACATGGCTTGGTTTTTGTGAGAGACAGGAGAAGATTTTTAGAGCACAGCTGAGATTGGTATTGGCTCTATCTCCATTAAGCAAATAGATTTTCGACAATGTCAGAAAGAAACACACATTTAAAATCAGTTTAGGATGATGGATTTCTTTTTTTATTTCCTTTCTTGTAAAGGAATGTAGTACATGGATAGGAGGGAGGCTGTTGGGACCCACCAGAATCTTTTGGTGGTGTCATCTTATAGAAAGTGATGGTTAGCCTTTTTGTCAAGTGTATTGTAAGTCAATCAATCCAAAAAGACTACCGGTAGTTACCTTTTTCTAGGAGATATCCTATATCTAAATATGTCTGAAACCACTGAGAAATATTTAAGAAGTTCATTATTTGCAAACCAGTTTCAGGTGAGAAAGGATCTGGGCAAAGAAACATCAGCAGTGCTTTAGATTACTTTGATCAGGTCAACTTCCAACATGTTATAAATATCCTGCTCTCTAGCTTCTTTAAATTCACTACCAAGGTCAACAGAGTCTCTGGATGTGAAGGTGCTGAACTTCCTGATGAGTTTTTAAGCTTCCTTGTTGCCTGGCAAGAACAACATTGTATTTTTACTGGACAAATGGCATATTTCTAATCAGTTAAAAATTAATACATAAAATTGCCTCATATTTTTACTTTCAATCTTTAGCATTTGTAAACGCTGTTATATCAGAGAATGTCAGTCCATTTTTCTAAAACTATTTCCACATTTTGCATAATATAACTCTTGCAAACTGCTGTTTTTACATCATTCTGTGTAATCTATAATTAAATTGAATATGCTAATATACTGGTACACAATTTGTTTGATATTCTGTTCTAAGATAAAGGCTACACAATCGTATGGATCAGCCCACAACCCAGCTAATTTTCCAAATCCACCAAATCCTTCTATCCTCCACAAGAGATAGTGAATTTATCTCCTAATTTTTGTAAGTGGTTGAGGCATATGCAGTGCAAATAAAATTGCTATTATCATCCATTTACCTAACCTAGAAATGACTCAAGGAGTAAAGCAAACATTGTGTCTGACTCTATACATACCTATGTCAGAATTTCCATTTAATTATTTTGAATAGAGTTTTGTCATTTATTTGTTAATAATCCAATGAAAGTACACTGTACTACTGTTTACCTCAAAAGGAAGCTATAGAGGCTGATTCTCAATCGTATTAATTCAAATGGCATTATATAAACATTTAAAATATTATTTATCAAATCTTCATACATTCATTTAATAGATTTTGGGAAACTGTATTTTACTAGGCTGAAATTTATTCACTGCACTCAAGTCAGATCTTCCAAACAAATGTGATAATATTCCCAAGTCTGTATTAATGTTGATTTAACTTGTGACACAACTATTTTTATTACTGTATGCTTTCTTGATCAATCTATTCCTTTAAATATACTTTCAAAGACAGTTACTTAATATAATGTAAAGCTGCATTTTTTTCCTACCATATGACAACTAGAATGCACATTTCACTGATACAAGTGAGATAAAATTAGCAAGTGTTTGTATGTTTTTTTTAAATTTATACTACCATTAGGAGTGTTTCTTCATCAGAAAAATTACTGCATCAAGGTTACTGCTTAAGTCAGAAGGCTATTTTCTTAATTCTACTTCAAGCATTAACCATTTAAACAATGGTAACTTGTATGGGCTGTTGCATGTTCAAAGAATTTGCATACTACTTCAGTACAAGACAGCTGTTTAATTATCAGCATTTAGTAATACTGTGAAGAGATAAAGTTACAGTGAAATCATTTTAACTAACTGTAAATTATATAAGATATCAATAAGTCACTTGATATATAATTATGGCTTTTGAAAAAGCTTGTCTTACAGGATATTTCCTTTTATTTACCATGGTAGATATTTATTAATACAGGATCAATACTCCTGTTGATCAAAATATCAATCCTGACTCAAATGTAACTTTAGATGAACCTATAATTAAGCATCTAAATATACACGCTCTAATTTTCATTAATACTGTGTGGCTACAAAGCCCACTGGAATTTAATAGAACAGCTGCTGTGAATCTTCATAAATTAGGCCAATGAATATTAATTACTAATTCATCTTAATATATTTTATTATAAATTAAAGCACAAGGAAACATGTTATATTTTGCTGGATGTTCCCTCCCAACTATTTACATGAAAGAAAAGAAAATCTTAGTCTATGAATGAGATCAGCTCAAAGTGGAATTGAAAACAAAGGTAACAGTGATACATTGTTTACCATGAGATTTGCTCTCATCTCTCTAGTCTTTTTCAATTGCATTGCTGTTCTTGGGTGTCAAATGAACACATTATCATATTCATAAAAGAAAATAAATTACGCACTCAAGAATGATTCCCAGCACCATTTTATGTCAATGTCATCCAAGGAAAACAGCTTAGTGACAGAAAGCATGCTTTTCAGGTAAATTTTCAAATCTGTAAATAGGACATTAGCAGGTAAAGCTGAAAAAGATTCCTAACTGAAACCCTGGAGAGCTATTTAAAATAAAGGGCATACGTTGGCGTTCTTTAAACATTTTTATTTCTATTTCTGGCCATGATGACTACAAGTGAGGGAAACTGCAATCTGACAACACAAGAAAGGCCGTGTTTCTCTGTTATTTAGACAATGCCGAGCTAGACAAAACAAGTCTGCTCTAAGGCTGGATTTTCACATATTTATTTGGCTTAGGGAATTAATCTATTTCTGGGTTTATGTAGTACAAATACATGACAAAAATTAAGTGGGTTAGCACAATTTAATAAACTATAGCAATCTGAATAAAGGTAAAGAGAATGTGAGAATGCTGCCACCAAGTATCCAACTGACCTTGATTAAGAATGTGATCCAAATTCAGTCAGTATATAATAGTTTCAGATGTCTTTTAAGGTTGATTTGTTTAATTCATACAATGCAGTATCAATTATTGAGAACTGAATCTGGTCCCATCTATCTAACCACATTCTGCTCTTAGTAATGTGACAAAGTTAGAATTAGCAGTTGTACATTAAATGGACACTAGCAAATACATCAGATTTCAGGGTCATCCAGTTTATCCCCAATGCCCTAAATGCCAAATTGAAATGAAGAGAACTCCTATAACTTCCAAAATGTGATCATATTAAATGTTTATGCTAACATTTGCAATTTTTTTCAGTTCAAGGATGCACTCCAATAATCATCAGCATCAAAAAAATTGAAACAGCATCAACTCAAGGTAGCATGTGAATTTAATTCAGAGTGCTAAATTAATCAGAGCAATGTCTATAAACTTTCAAGTCAAGGAGAATGTGATACAAACTGTCAAATATTTTCAGGCTTTTATAACCAGAATATTGTGTTATGGTTCCCTCTAGTGGACACTGCTCCTTCCAATATTGTCAAAATAAAATCATGGTAGGATTCTTCCTCCCATTTCTATAGTAAATGTAGGAGCATTCAGATTTAATCTCTGCCTCTTCTCCTTTATTAAATGGCCCAATTTCTTCCTCTAGCCCAAGCAAACATATCTTTATTTTTCTTCATAATAGAAAGTATGTTTCATAATGTATGTTTTTTAAATATTTTCTTACCAAAGCCATAGGCACAATAATTATATGTTATAATTGTAATTCAAATGCAATTCCTTCTGAAGAATTATGGACACCTGTCCGATTTTCACCTAGTACGAATGTAGACTGAAAAAATAGTGCCCTATCTCACAAATCTGATTATTAAATGGTATAGTTGTTATATCAAACTGTCGAATACAGAGGCAAGTTCCATCTTAAGATTCTAGACCATTCAATCACATGAGAAATCCATTTGTTACTCAAGATAGCCTACTGATCATAAATAATAGTTCTTCAATTTACTGCTGTTCATTTAACAATGTTTCAAAGTTACAATGGCTTTGGAAGGAGTGATTGATGACCTGTACTCACACTTATACCTGTTGCACCACTCCTCCTGATTGCAAAACAGGCACTTGCCAATCAGCTTACATTTATTACTTTTGCAGCATCCTGGGGTCATGTGATCAAGATCTGCGACCTATTTTGCCGATTTCTGGCAAAAAATTCCCAACACCCTTTGGGGAAGCTGGATTTGCTTAATGACCATGGTGGTTTACTTAATGCCTGTCTAAAAGTTGTTACAAAATTGGGCCTAACCTCAACAACTTATGATAGAAATTCTGGACCGAATTGTGGTCGTAAATCAAGCACTACCCATATACGAAAAGAAACTATGAATGTATTAACATATGATAATTTGTGTATGCCTGTTAAAATATTGCTTCTAAAGAATGTAATATTGTGATTTGTGAACTTAAAATGGATACACATGGACATACAGATAATTATCAGCAGCAGTGCATTTTATTACTAGAATATAGAACATTTTAGAAATAAGCTATATAAAAAGTCACGTAAAAATATAAATTATGAGCCTTTTGTTTTTCGTATCATTTGTTCCATGATATTCCACTGGTCACTGGTGACCTAGCATAGAAAAGAAAACAGTGTAGTTGAGATGCCAATTTTCTACTATCATCATGTAGTGTGTCGATATGGGTATGACCCAGCCAGGAAGAATGTTCTTAAATTGCATTCAGAGCAGAACAGATCCTCAAAGTTTTCCAAGTGAAATCAATGGGACTTAAGCTTAGTATTCCATTAAAAGTATACAGTAATACATTAATTTTTTAAGAGGAAAAATACCTCTTAAAAGTGGGTGGATAGAGGTGGGAATAGCCTCATGAGGCCTGGATCTTTTTACCAAGCATCAAAAGCTGATATTGGGAGGAAAACGAGAACTACGATGGGAATTATAGCAGAATGGAGGGCAGCATTAATTGATTAAACATCCAATGTAATCTTCCATTTTGCAATTTTTTGTTACAAAGTTTTCCTTGTAAATTATTACCTTACGTAATTCATTGAATTCTCCAGCCATATTCACGTATTCACCACCATCCATTCTAATGACCTGTAAGAATGATGCAGAGGTTGTTTCATTAAGAAATTCAAATGATCAGCTGAATTAGTTCAGTAGAACTTTTGTACAAGAAAAAATACCTTTAAAGTAGTCAACTTCTGTGACTTACTGAACTGTACTAAATTTGCCCATAAAGCATTCTTTCCACTAGGTAGTTGGTGGTTTCTAAAAAGTTAAAGAGTGATTCATAAAGCATTCTCATCAAGCTCACAGAGCTCCGTAAAAATGCTGGAATTAAATGCCTTCAAGGAATCAGGTGACATTTGTGTGTAATTACACTTTTCTAACAGCAGCAGTGAGCTTCATGCACCCAGGATCAACTTACTGCTCCATTAACCCAGCTTGCATAATCACTACAGAGGTAGGTGGCAAGGTTGGCGATCTCTTCCACAGTTCCCATACGACCACAAGGAATTCTCTGGATCATTTCTTTCTCAAATATCCCCGTGGGATCCAGGCGGCTGAAGGCTCCCTGAAGGGGGGGGGGGAATAATTGTATAGCAAAAAGATTTGTGCCTTGCAAAACAAACAAACAGTAAAATAAAACATGTGATCTCAAGGAAGCACTGCTCCACTCTTCCCAAAGTATTTCTATTTCTAAAAGGTCACTCACAATTACAGGAATTCCTTGAGTTACGACCTATCACAACTCTAACTCTTGACAGTTGTAAATTGGGTCACTCATCTGATCAACCCAATTTATGACTTTTTTTGTGCTGGTGGTGGTTAAGCAAATTCGCAATTGTTAAGCAAACCATTGACTTGCGATGGGTGCAGTTTTGCCAAAAATTGGAGGTAAATACAAC